TGGTGCTTAGCTTCTCAGTTGCAACACTTTCCAGCTTTTATGAAAGAAATAAACAAAAATAAAATGTTATTTTAAAAGTAGTGTCAGAAATTAAATAAATTACCCTCAACAGTGTTGTATATTTAAAAAAAAAAATTGGAGGGACTGTTCAGTAAAGCCTTTACAACAAAAGCACACCAAAAAAAAAAAAATTTTTTTTTAAAGCAGTAAATAAAAAGAAAGCTTTCTGCATTTGGCGGTAGTTATATCTTATAATGTTTTAACTATTTAGGCTGCTTTTTCAAACTTTCTCTTAAATATATGTAGACTCAGCATGGTGTGAATAGTGTAAGCCTTATTAGTCTCTGGTGCCAGGCTGTGTAGGTTCAATTCCCAGTTCTGCCATGAACTGGCTGTATAATTATGGGAGAGTTACCTTCTCTGCATCTAGTTACTTCTTCTATAAAATGGAGATTATAGTCGTACCTGACTCACAATGTTGTTATGAGGATTACATGAGTGGAAAAAAAACAAATATCTTGTAAAAGTATCTAGCACCTAAGTGCTATCTACACATTTGCTTATTTGTTTTTAAAGGCAACTTTATTGAGGTATAATTAGGGTACAATTTAAAGTGATATATATTTATATAATAGCCACAATACTCAAGCTATACATTGTACCTGTCATCCTGACATGTTCCCTCATGCCTTTGTAGTCCGTTTTTCCCTAGACCCTGACAATCTCTGATCTGTTTTCTGACCCTATACTTATGCTTTTACAGAATGAATTTATACAGAATCATCAGAGTCATGTAGTATGTAGATCTCTGAGTCAGTGTGGGGATTGGTAGATTTTTCGGTAAAGAGACAGATAGTGCATGTTTTAGGTTTGCAGGCTATATAGTCTGTGCTGTAACTACTCAACTCTGCTGTTGCAGTCATGGACAGAATTAAACATATTGATCAGGCAAGACTGTGTTCCATAAATATTTGCCTACAAAAACAAGCAGCATCCAGATTTGGGTTGAAGACCATAATTTGCCAGGTCCTGATTTAGCATGATGCCTTTGAGGTTCCTTCATGTTATTTATTGTGTGCATCAGTAGTTATTTTTTATTGCTGATTATTTTCCATTGCATCAATATACTACAGTTTAGTCATTCACAAGGTGAGAGACATTTGTGGGATTTTTTCCCCCCAGTTTTGGGCAATTATAACTAAAGTCATTGTAAATTTTTGCTGGCAGTATTTTTTGTGTGTGGACACAGGTTTTCATTTCTTTTTGGGTAATTATCCAGGACACTTTTTGCYGGGTTGAATGGTAAATGTACATACAACTTTGTAAGAATCTCCTAATCTGTTTTCTATAATGGCTACACCATTTTACATTTCTGAAGGCAAGATGGGAAAGCTCCAATTGGGAGGCATTCTCAACAGCTCTTGGTATTTTCCTCTGTTTTTAAAAATTTCAGTCATTAGAAAAGACACTAGATGGAATATGTTACCTTAATTAAGTTGGAAACTCTTGAAGAGTTTTACACATGGAAATGACATTATTTGGGTTTTTAAATGATTACTCAATTTGCAGTGTAGAGAATGATTTGGAAGGAGGCAGGGTGGATGTGTGAAGACCTCTGGGAGGGGTATTACATTAGTATAGGGGAGAGGGAAGATACCTTGACTTGAAAGGTGACAGTGTAGAGGAAGAAGTGACTATATGGGATAATTTTCAGGAGGTAGAATTGACAGGACTCAGTGATTGGTCAGATATGGGATTCAAGAAAGTGGAAGCTCTCCTGAATTCTGCCAGAATTTCTGTGACATGCAGCCACATGAATAATGTCACCCTTACTGAGATGAAGGACACTGGCTGAGAAGAAGTTTGGAAAGATAAAGTTCTCAGATCAATTTTGAAATACACGTGAAACCTCCAAATGAAAGTACCAACTAGTCAGTTTGATATCTGGGTTCCAGAGTGAGGGAACAAAATTAGAAGTCATTGTGGTATAAGGGATATTTGATGATATGGGGTAGATGAGAATCTCTAGAGAGAGCTCCTAATGATATGAGAAGAGTGACTATAAGGCATCTAAAAAGGAGCATGAGTGATTAATGTTGTGCAGTTGAGTGACATCCAAAGAAAGCTGAAAGGGAGTGGATTAGGAACATTGGAGAGAAAGGTGCCACTGTGAGTGACCAATTAGTTGTGTGCTATTGGTTGTAGGAGAGTAGTGAGCATTTGTCTTGGTGGCAATGATGATGATGTGAAATATAGATTAGAGTTGAGGCTTGAGCAAGGAGTAAGGCACTAGAAAAACAAGGGCTTACAAATCTTTCAAAAATTATTAGGACAACTATTAGAAACATATGAAAGGTATATATTGTTTTAATTTTTAAGATAAAAGATGTTAGAATATGCTGGGTTCGAGAAGGGTGAGGCGCAGGAATGAAGACACGAGGAACAGGGTAGCCAGTGGGCATGACTGATGCTCATCAGCTGCCAGCTGAAGGAGAATCCCCAACCCCCAAGTTTAATATTCATAGTTGGAGMATAAGGAGATGTTAATGTTACCAGGTTCTAATGAACTGTATCATAATATGGTCTTTAAACTTATTTTTTGAGTATTTCTAGAAAAGTTACCAAGCAGAAAATGTCAGCAATTATTTTGATGTGTGAAAATGCTCTGGCGGTTTAGTCACTTGTCAGTCTCATGTCCAAGTTCTACCCATCTGTCATGGCGCAGTTGAAACCCTCAAATGAAAGGCTCTCCCTCCCTTGTCTGAATGGTCATAGCCTGGTGGTGTATTTTTTTTTTTTAAATTTGTTTTGTTATTTACTTTTTTTCTCTATTTTGACATTGGTTCCTTCTAAATACTTGTTATGTATGTATATTCTGTGTATAGTTGGATGTGTGTATTTTTTTTTCTTTTTCTACTTATCATTAGATGATGGAAAGCAAAGATCATAGCTAAAAGAGCAACTAGCAGTTATATTTATTTAGTTTGTTACCTTAATCGTATGTGAAGGTAAATGTGAGTAAGTAGTTATTAGCAGATAATTAGTGTTAGGGTCTGTAAACAAGTCAAGATGGCGCCTGGCATTTTGCCAGAGGGAGTGGTTTGTGAAGTAACGCCTGCGAGCCATTAAGTGTGGAGATTCCTTATTGGTTGACTGCTGTATCTAGTTTATGTTAATTAAGATAAGCTGTGTGGAATGTATATATACCCCTCCTGTCCTACAATAAACGGCTCCTACTCCTGCTGTATCAATCTACACAAGTTCCTCCTCACTCCCTGGTTATTCTGCCSCAGCCCGGTGTTACTTCACAAACCACTCCCTCTGGCAAAATGCCAGGCGCCATCTTGACTTGTTTACAGACCCTAACAAATTAGGAAGAGTTATCTGCAGAATAGAATTTTTGTGGCTTGGTGCCTGAATTAATAGCTTGAAAATTTATGATATCTGATTATAACCTTTGTTTTTATTATACTTAGCAAGATACATTTTGAAAGTTCCTTGTTATATGCTACTAAATAGTAAAGTTATTAAATAATAATAGTAACAATAATGACTATTCAATGGTACTCTGTAATTTAACAGGGACTTTAATATCATTATTCCATTAAGACTGAGGATAACTCAGAGATGCAGAAATAGTACATCACAGGAGTTTTGTCATCATTTTACAAATGAAACTGAGGCCCAAAGAGATTTGTCAAAAGTCTCATTGCTGATAAACAGGGATGCAAAGGCCCAAATTGGGACCCTCTCACCCAAATCCAGGTTGTTCTCAATGAAACCTATGTCTTCTAGATTAATTGGTCGGATGATAATTTAATCCAGATATGGAGTGTAGTTATGTTTATTTTATTTAACCAAATAAAAAATTATTTATCCTGAGTGATCAGAGTAACCTCTATGTCAGAGCTAAGATCACCTCTTCAACAAGCTTTGTTCTGGTAATGCAGAGGCTGATGTATGGCCCCAACTGCAGAATGGGAAAACACCACTGTTGCAGGTTGTGTTGATGCTATGGTTTGAAGAGAAGAGAAATTATGTATCCTTGGATTACTAATAGATGAACGGGCCCACACCATTCAATATAGGTTTTTAACCTAGTGTTAGCAATTTTGGAAAAAAAAAAAAACAAGAAGAAATAGGTACCAATTTTTCTGTATTTTTGATTCTGAATTCTGGCTTTGCCAACTTTTTTTTTAATGTCAGAATCATTTTTGATTTAGGATGATGATAAGTTATATTATTATAAGAGAACTAGGGATACCTAGTTTATTTATTAYCATTGAAGAGGATTATGCCTACTTTAGGTATATTATTTCAAAAACTGAAATATTGCATGATAAATACCTGAAAGTTAAATTTATCTTAAAATATTTAATGGGGAAACCTATAATTAAAATCTATGAAAAATATCATTCCCATTGAACATAGCTGATTATTTAAACTGGATAGTAACTAAATAGATTCTTTTTAATTGTACTAATTTAAACCTAAAGATACTGATCTCTAGAATATATTTTGTCATGAGAATTGAGGAATAAGGAACATATACTTTTAAGAAATTGTGGAAAGACATAAACTGCTCTTTTTTTCTCCTTTCATGTAGAGTCAACATATTTAAATGTTATCTGCAGTGTTGCCACTGGGTAAATTATTTTCTCTCTTACCTCATAAATTATCTCAAGTATTTGGGAATTGSTATTTGGTAGTGGAAATAATAGAATTTGGCTGTATTTAAAATTAAAACTATAAATTAATATATTTAATTTTAAACCATGTGTTCTATGGCTAAATGGTTGAGATTCATAAAAAGAAATACACCTAGCATCCCCCACCCCCATCCCAAGGCAGTTAGTCTTGTAACTCTGTGTGAACTGTGGATTGTGTTCTCACTCCAGTGTTCCTTATCTCCATTGCAGATTTCTTTTTCTATTATGCTGTAAGATTTTTTAAATTGGCCTTCTAGATGAACAACTGAAAATGGTCTGCTTTTACATCAGGTGAACCTGGCCTATGTGGAAGCGGCAGAGTACTTTTCAGAACCTGTTAACAGGGAACCTCCTTCCAGGGAAGCTCAAATACTAACTTTGAAGAACACACCTGAATTTGATATCCTTGTTATCGGAGGAGGAGCAACAGGCAGTGGCTGTGCACTAGATGCCGTCACCAGAGGTAAGTCTGCTGTGATGAATGTGAGGTAAAGTTATCATCCTTCTCCCCAGTATAAATATGGACAGCATGTACTATATGTAGTGAAGTCACGTTTCTGCTGGTATTTCCTAATTTTCCTTCTTTGTGAAGCACCTTTACAATTTTTAAAATATAGGCACTGCACAATTTAAAAAAAATATGTCTTGTTTTCACTTCAGTGGATTTATCTAAAAAGTACACATTATATTCCTAAAAATTCTTCGATGTTCTACTTTTTTCCTAATTCATAATAAATACATTTGTATGAAATTAAAATATTTGTATATCACCTGAAATCACATATAAATGAAGTAATCTATTAAAATAAATATTCTTTTTATTTGTATAGCGATGAAAATTTTCTCTTTCAGTGAGGTATGCACTTCAATTTGTGAAAGTCAGTTTATGTGCATAAATGATGGAAAAGATATGTTAGACTATGACTAACACAGTCCTGTCTCAGTCACCCTGTCTACTACTGGTTGGCATTAGAAAAGACAGGAAGAGAAGATCCCTAAAAACGAAAACATAATATAACATGTAAAACAAGACATTTTAGTATGGAACTCCAGTGCTCTTATGCAAGATATATGTAATAAAATAATGTCAAGGAAATCCAGGTGCATATTCTGACTCAGTTTACCAGGCATCAGTTACCAGGGGTGTGTGTGTGTCTGTGTGTGTGTGTGTCTGTGTGTGTGTGTGTGTGTTTATCTGCATATTTAGATTAATTACTTGATTCCTCTGGTGTTCTTCATCTTCCAAATGGGGAAAAATACCTTCTTTGTATGACTATTGTGTTAAATGTGCTAATTACAAAGAGAATTTGACCAGTGCTTTTCACACAAAGTAGAAACCCAATAAATTATAGAAAGTACTATAGCTGCCATTRTTAATGTGAAGGTAAGAGATTTTTGGAATCAGGTGTCCTGGAAGAACAATACATGCTGTATCTCAASGGTATTGAGATATTGAGATATTGCTAACAAAGAATTTTAACTCAATATTTATGACTGTTTTATACTTAATGATGATAATTTATTATACAGATATTTTTTCTCAAATATATTGATTTACCACCACCATCATCCTGTATTTAGTTATCTTATATATCTGGTAGAATTTACTCATGAAATTAATTTAAGGAGATTGAAGTTCTCACAAACAGATATTACTTGGATTACTGTGATTTCACAGGACTGCCACTTAGGTTTTGGTCCATGAAAACCTCACAGCCTCAGTCCTTTTTTTAAAAAAATTAAACCTCATAATGCTTAGTTCAAAATATAGGCACTGAAATCTACTCAGTTACCATGTAGACCCCAATTTTCATATAAATTCCTGTTTCCARTCATGTAATATAATTTGAACCAGAATATTCTGGAACACTCTAAAGTGGATAGGTTAACACCTATTATCTTCATATGGTAATTTTGAACCTAGCTTTTTATCTTGGAGGCCTGAGCAGGAGTAWGAGGTCTTTCTTGGGACTACTAATTCCAGAAATTAAAATATACTGGGTGTGTATCAAAAATATCATTTCTCCAGGAGGGTTTAGGAAAATATGTTTCTTGGCATCTCTAGTTATTTCACGAAATTGTAATAAAATACATAGTCACTGTTTTTATATCAATTCTGCAGATATTCACTGAGTACCTACTGTATGCTTGGCAATGAAAGGTACTACATGAGAATACAAATGTGAGTATCTTTAGTGTGCTCACAATTCTATAGTGATTGTGTAGACCAGTCTCCATTAAAGAGAATGTGTCTTTCAAAGGGCTCAGGCAACATTATAAACATGTAAAGATAAAGGTAGTCATATCTATGGAGAATTGTTAGTSAACAAGCTGCTGTTTAGCATAATAGAAATTTTAATAGGCAAATATTGCTTGTTAAGAGTGTTCCAAGCTGAAGGAACATGCAGAAAGAGTAGCATAGAATCAGTGTGTGTAGGAGACAGAAGCACATTAATTGGAGCATGAACCAAATAAATGGGGAGARTATGAGAGAATAATAGGAAGGCAGGACTGGGTTTGTAGTGCCAGAAGAGGGATTTGACATTACTGAACAGGCCTTTGGGATACTGTAGGTTTGGAGAACATCACTTGGTGATATGGAAGGAACAGAGATGGGCACATGCTTTCAAGAGGTCTGGAGACAATTGAAATAGAATGGACGTAACCTGATAGTGCATTAGGATGTACAGAAGGAGGGAATATATCCCAAGATTTCTTCCTTTTCCTTTTTCTTTTTCCTTGTTAAGATATGAATGATCTGAATATTCCTGTAGACTCAGGAAAAAGCCAGGCAGGGGGAGAAGCTTTAAATGCAAGGAATAGAAGGGGAGCATATGGAGCAAGGCTATGTGAAATGACAAGGAGAGGAATTTCAAAGTCTGAATTTTGGCAGGAGGATGAGATTTGTTTCTCAGAGACAGAAACAAAAGGTGAAGATTCTAAGATGTAAAACAGGGAGCTTGTGTGTGAAGTATTCCTAAATAAACAAAACCCAAGTGAGATGTTCTGCTTATGGGTGGGAGGAAGGGACTTGAGAATACAGCAGGCATGAACTACCTTATGGAGAAGGTAATAGAGTGCTTTGGAGGTTCTTTTTTTAGATTAGAAAATGTAGACTTGTTTTCCAAGTAGGATATTTTGTGTGTGTGTGTGTGTGTGTGTGTGTGTGTGCATGCATGCACATGTGAATGTGTATGTGTGTTCTGTATTGCTGAAAGTAAAGACAGATAAAATAGTAGGAGAGAATCTCAAACTGAGAATAGACTGGGCATTAGAGGTAAAAGGAAAAAAAAATGAGGACAGATTCCATGGAAGCAGAGGAAATTGCTTAAAGGTAGACCACAAGCTGAAGGGGGCAGGACGTAAGGAAAGTTAGAAATGCAGGCTTTGGTAGAAAAGTTAGGATAGATTGAATAACTGACAACAAGTTGATCGCCAAAACCCTGTTACTCCTTTCTTCCTTTTGAAATCTCACCTGTGCTTGCTTTTGTGTACTTTATATATTTATATCATTTCAAAAGCATAGATAAGATTGTATTACTCTTTTCCAGTGGTTTCTTTGCAATAGCAGTGTAGTCATCATTTACATGTATATAGTATTCATTTTTTAATGAAAAAATTCCATTTTTTCCACTTAAAAAAAWTTTTTTTTTCATGCTAGGCATTGAACCCAGAGCCTCATCCTGCCAAACATGTGCTCTACCACTGAGCTACATCCCCAACCTAGATTTTTTTCTATTTAAAACAATGATATTTATGAGTGAAGTATTGAACAAGCTCTGAGAATACAAATAATTTTAAGAGTCAGCCTTGGGCTTGGGTTGTAGCTCAGTGGTGGAGTGCTTGCCTAGCATGCACGAGCCACTGGGTTTGATCATCAGCACCACATTAAAAAAAATAAATAATGAGTTAACTAATAAATATAAATAAATAAAATAGTATTTTTAAAAAGAGTCATCATTGTCTGCAAGAAGCTTAGTTTATTAATATTTGTTATAAAATAATTGTTTTCTTTGAATAATGAAGGGAATTCAGTAGTGATCATGGTTTAATGAGTGAATTATCTCATGATTGTGGGAGTGATGGTGATGATGATGAGAATGGTCATCATGATCATCATGATCGTAATCATGATCATGATTTTGGTGAGAGTTTCAGAACCTGAATATTGATCAGGTTTTTAATCTTATAGTTAATAAAAAATGTACTTTTAACATCTCTTGATATTGATTGTTATCTTAAGACAGTTGCTGAAGAATGTCTTAAAAATATAAATATGTATATGGAATTGTGATTTGCAGAAGAGATGCACAAATCTTAATCTATGTTTCTTTTACTATGCTGGTGGCTTTCTGGGAGTAGTGTTTATAATTAAAATGTATAAAGAGATGCTGAAGGTAATCTATATTTATCTTTTTACTACAATTTCTGATCATATCAGTAGCCCTCTGAAGTGTGAAATAATCATGGGCATTTGGTTAATGAATTGTGCRTTGTTGCTGTTCATTCATGGAATTTGCTCTTTTATTATATTTGATGCTTCACTTAACAACAAATTTTGCTTTCTCTGCGTTTGATATGTTTTTACCAAATTATTCCTGATTGTATCCATTAATCTTTAGTCACATTTGACAAAAATAAATTACTGTGATCTTTTAAAGTTACCAGTAATAATTAGATTTTTCAGGACATCAAAGTTTTTGGGGAACCACTAGATGTTAAAGGGCTTGTATAAAAATGTTTGCACAAGGTTTTTGATAAAATACTGTGCCCAAATGCAATTTTGGTGATGGAAAAGCGAAGGCTGTGGAGGGAAGAGAAGAATCTGTAGAGTCTTCATAATGAACCTTTGTTTGCATTCTCATCATTGGCATTTTCTTGAGAATCAATTTTCATTTGTTTCATTTGGGAATGTTATTTTATAAACATAATATGCACAATTCTCCTCACGTTTTCCTGTAGGTCTCCGGGATCAATAGAAATTTCTTCACCATTTAACACCTCTGTGTGCAGTTTCTGGGCAGAAGCACAGCCCTGATGCCCAGTTGTGGGCACTTTGCTCCTAAAGGAAGCAGGAATAAGGAGCATCTGATAAATAAATATATTTATTTACTCCCTCAGGGTTCTACCAAGTGTTTTCCTTAGTTATTTATATTGTTTTATGTGAATTTATGTGTCTGGGATCACCCAGTGCATTTTAACTCTCATGGCTTCAGTTCACATTCCAGATAATACTGCCTCTTGCTGGAGGAAAACATTGTTTTTCTCTCTTAAAAATTTTGTATGTACTTTTAATTTATAATGGTGTCTGAGTATCACCATAATTTTTCCACATCTAAGGCAGTTTTACATAGTGATTAAGGACATAGTTATGGAGGTAGAATTAACTGGGGTCTAACATTGGCTTCCTTTGATTAGYTCCATTACCTTCCAGAAGGGTCTTAACTTTACAGAGAACTTCAA